AAAAGGGGATACAGATGAATGTCCATTTTGTATCTGTGTATTCAAAGTGGTTAGGATAGATATATAGTTACATTCTCTTAATGAATAGAAAGATTTGTTCTAATGATATTTGTAAATAGGATATCATGTCTGCATCTTGTATAGCAATTAACCACTAGGAAGAATGTAAACAATGTTAATTATTGAAACTGTCCTACCAATTTGATTTGAAACTCTCTCATTGCTATTTGTTTCTCAATAAAATTATGAAAAAAAATTTAAGCATTCACTATATTTTTAGGTCACACCTCATAGTCTCACACTGTGCTGATCATGAGGGGACCAGGATGACAGCTGCCCTGGAGAGTGGACTGGGACTGGGGCCAAGCCCTAGGGGTTGTAAGCGGTCAGCAGGACAAGGGGTCCATCCCCACTGACAGGTGCAGTTAGGAGCCAGATAGAGGATGGGACTGTTGAGGTAGCGAGGAGCTGGGTGACCCCTGAGGGAAGCTGCACAAGGAGGCTTGAGATCTCCGCCTGACCTTTACGGAGAGCATTTGTCCTCAGGAAGGTCTGCTTGGGGGCTATGAAGAATACATCAGGGACTCAGATCTGGGATGAAAGCCCAGCTCGCTCAGAGAGACAGAGAGACAGAGAGAGACAGACAGACGGGCAGAGACAGACAGATAGAGATAGACAGACAGACAAAGACAGACATAGAGACAGATAGACAAAGACATACAGAGAGAAACAGAGACAGAGACAGAGACAGAGACAGAGTCAGAGTAGGTGCCCCACGCATGAGGTGGCACTTGAGGGTGGCTGCCTGAGTCAGAAGCTGTCCCCCCCACAAGCAGCTTTCTTCCTGTGGAGTATCAGGAGAAGCCCAAAGGCCACGCATGAGAGCCCCGTGCTGCATATGAGTGAAGATGGCACAAAAATCCCCCAAGGCCTTGACTCCGAAGTTGAGGAGAAGGGAGGCTCGGTGACTGTGAGAGCATCCCTTGGAGGGGACAGGACCTGGAGGGCACCTGTCTTGTCCTCATCCATGATGGCGGGGACAGCGCCGTACCCACTGTGCCGGGGAGCCAGGGACTCACCTGGGTGGCCAGGATACCATGCTTGATGCCAGTGTTGTGTGTCCCGGACCCGATGACACCAGCTGCTGTCACGTCTGACACGGCTCCCAGGCTGGGCTCCGCAGGAGGGAAGAGAAGAGGAGGACACAGGAGACCAGTTAGGCTTCTGGGGTAGGAGGCGCCCCTCCATGGAGCTGAGACCCCTAACTAAAGGAATAGTCAGTCGAGAGAGAGAGAGAGAGAGAGAGAGAGAGA